ATAATTAAATTACAACTAAAAAAATATTTAAAAAAAATTGCACTTATAGTTTTTAAAGTTTTTTTTCAAATGAATTTTTTTTTTAATTTTTTGTATTCATTTTTTCAGTAAAAAAAACTTCTAACTTTAATTTTCCAAATCATGTAAATAATGCTAAAATTAGCCGGCATGTTTAATTTTTTTTTTCATTTATTAAATTAGAACTAAAAAATATTTAAAAAAAAATTGCACATATAATTTTCCCAATTTTTTTTTTGAAATAATTTTTTCAATTAAAAAAAATTCTAAAAATTTTTTTTAAATCTTTAAATTGACTTAAAAAAAAATTAACAGAGCCCAGCATGGATTGACCCCACTTGTAAATAATTACCGATATTATAACTAAGTATTTTTATCATACATATATCATAAATGATATATATGATAAATTAATAAAATTAATATCGGTGGTGAGACTGAGACTGTCGCCACTCGGAATTCGTCGTCGATCCGTGATGATGATGATGATGATGGTGATGTCTTTTTTTATCTGAATGCTTGATACCAGTGTTGTCGTCTGCGGTAGAGTTGCTATTGTCATTACCGCGGTAATTATCACGGTAATTAGGATCATCCAAAGTTTCTTTGCGTCTCAGTGGAGGGTTTGCTTTCTGTCCAGCTGTCTCGTGCAAATTTTCCCACGCCTGCCGGTAGTATCTATTGAGTCCCCCGCGACTTTCTGATGAGCTGCTATCAAAGCTAGCTACTGTGTTGCAATCTGGTGAGGCGCGGTGTCTGTAATGCTTGCTGCGTCCTCCTCGAGACCTAGAATAATAATAATAAAAAATAATAATTAACAATAGCTAACTCCTGCTAGATACTTATCAGATTTTATTATTATGTCTTACAATTTATAAGACATAATACTTTGTAAATATAATAGTAAATAAAGTATTTATTTTAATGCCTCCAGATAGTTCCAGTATAAGTGCGGCGTGCGATATGCTGAGAAAAATACAAGCCTACTGATAAACAATTGTGGAAAAAAAAGAGTGCGATAATAAATATATATGCGTGAGTTTTAAATGGGATAAGGCCATCAACTTCCATCTCTATTTTTTTATACCAAGAATTTTTCATGTGCATGTTTATTTCATTAATAATTTATTATTATTAATTATAATGTGCATTTTTTTTGACAGTTTCCATTTCACCTGACTGATAGATATTAATGGTGGTCGAAAATTTTTTTGATATTATAAGCCAGATTTTTTAATACTGATAAAAAAATTAACTTGATTTAGAAAAATTATTGAATTACAAATATTATTTTGATAAATTTATTATGATAAGTATTTAGGTTGCTTTCAAAAATACTTCATCTCTAGATACATAATTAAAAAATGACCTTGTATCTCGTGAATTATTGACATTTTTAAAGATATAAGCTCATCCCGATGTTACACTCATCGAGACCTTTCATTTGAGTACCAACATTAATTTATCATATATTTTATATATTTATATATATCATATATACAAATATATGAAAAATATATAAAAAATGCATGTGGGTACTCCAATGAAAGCTCTTGATGAGTGTAACATCGGGATGAGCTTATATGTTTAAAAGTGTCAATAATTAAGAACTGACCTTGTATCTTGTGAACTATTAACATTTTTAAAGATATAAGCTCACCCCGATGTTACACTCATTATATATTTATATCTATTATATATATGTATATATGAAAAATATATGAAAAACTGATGTGGGTACTCAAATGAAAGCTCTTTCTGAGTGTAACATCAGGATGAGCTTATATCTTTAAAAATGTCAATAATTAAGAAACGACCTTGTATCTAATGAAATATTGAAATTTTTAAAGATACAAGCTTATTCTGATGTTACACTCATTGAGACCATTCATTTGAATACCTACATCAATTTTTCATATATTTTATATATATTATATATATAT